ATAAGCTTATGAATTATTAATGAGTGTTTTAAGTTTATATAAAGCCAGTCGTAAATATTAGGCAATGCAGTATTATGATATGAAGTAAAAGGTCACTTGGATCCGCTTTACCAGAGACAGTTAATAAAGTAGTGTCTTCAGCAAAGAGTCTTACAAAGGACAAATCTCTAGCCTTGACAAAATCATTAATGTACAGCAGGAATAGTGAAGTATAGAATGATTCACGGTATGAAAAGAATTGTTTGGATCAAGAGACATAGTTATTTCCTCAATTATATCAACTAAACAGTCTGTGGTTGTTATTTCTCGGGTGTAAAACCATTTTGGTTGGGTACCAATATCATTTCAGTAGATAAAAAAAAAATCATAAGTTGATTGAAAACACATTTTTCAAAAATCTTACTGAAGACAAAAAGAACAGTATTGGTCTATAATATATTACAGAATAATCGAGATTCCTGTTTAGAAATTGGAATGACCTTAGCTATTTTCAATTACTGATCAGGGAAGTCTCGTTGTGGGCGCCTTATTACTTCGTAAGATCGAGCTTCGCTATTCATATTTCATCTTATATGTATCTTTTATATCTTCCTTTTACCATATAATCCAAAAGAAATGAATCTTCTCTAGTTTACTTCATTTTTATATACCTTTTTTCCAGACCTACCATTCTACGTTCTATTCAGGTTGAGTCATGGCGCCGACGGCCAAAATCGATTTTTTCATAATTCCCAAATAAAACAAAAGTAAAATTATCAAAAATAAGATAAACATCAATACGCTTTTTCTCTTTTTCAACGTATAAATTTATAAATCTATTCCTTTTCCTTTGAAATGCTAGCTTTCTACTACATGATTGTTAAGTTAAATGTATATTTGATCTTATGTTATGGGATGGACCGCTCTCGGTGTTGCCTTCTTCGGGATCTTCATTCTATTCTGCTTCGCCGAGCGAAAATCTAAGAATTAAGCATAGCTGAAACTAAGGCTAATATATGAATGCATCGTAATGCATAGAAAAGATTACAAGAGCGTTTCTATCATAAGACTCTAAAGAATAATCCTAAAATAACCAAGCAAAGCGGTCGTAAAACCCGTGTGGGGCTTAACCAGAGGTACAAATGCTATTGGGGGAGCTAAGAGACTAGTTTGTGAATTCAATGCATATACCAATATCTAAACTTGTAGGTCACTGTAGCCTTGTTAACAGACTCGTGCCCAGTCGTCATTTGTTTCAGGCTTCACGCGAAGCGGAGTGCAACTCTAGCTTTTTTGAGTGTTAAGCAACCTCCCAAGTCCATCCATAACTCGATGGACGCACAGTGATTAACTTGACAATCGGGGTTAAACGACCTACTCATTTGACAAGACCAAGATAACCCAAGAAGATAACCCAAGAAGTAAAAAGGATAACCCAAGAAGTCAAAAACGATCTTCGACTTTGGGAAAAATTTCTTGAAGGGTTTAATGGAAGATCATTTTTTCTCGAGGATGCCTGGTCCTCATCCACAACTCTTCGTTTCTATACAGATGCAGCAAAATCCCTAGGCTATGGAATAGTATTTAACAAATTTTGGGCATATGGCGAGTGGCCGAATGACTGGAAAAAGAAGGACATATCATTCTTAGAGCTTTTCCCTATCGTAATAGCAGTATGCATGTGGAGCAATTATCTAGCAAACAAAAGAGTGTTGTTTTTCTCCGATAACCAAAGTGTGGTTCACGTTATCAATAAACAGACCTCTAAAGATAAAGAGCTACTGAGCTTGATTCGCAAGCTGGTATTAACATGCCTTGAAAACAATATACTATTTAGAGCAAGGCACGTGCCGGGTAAAAGAAATATACTTGCTGACCATCTGTCTCGGTTGCAGGTAAACAAGTTCAAAGAATTAGCGGTGAACAGCGATCAGAGTCCTACACCAGTTCCCGACCATCTGAGGCCAGTGAACTGGGTCACACATTGACAAAGCTGTTGACAGGATCCTTGTCTAAATCCTCTTTGAACACTTACCAACGGCCGTGGGCAGTTTTCGCACAGTTTTCTGCCAACACTTTTCATACAAAAACAGAAATCCCAATTTCGCCTGACACTTTAGCACTGTTTGTAGCTTACTTATCAGATAGTGGGTATGCGGCATCTACAGCCTTAACATATATTTCAGCCATAGGCTATGTGCACCGCTTGTCTTCTCTACCGGACCCTTCAAAATCAGAGCTCATAAGACTTGCTTTAAGAGGCTATGCTAAGCAAAAGACCCCAGGGGACGCTAGACTTCGCATCACATTACCAATTCTGGAACAACTGTTATCAGCCTTTGATCACACCATATCTTCTACTTATAAAGGAAATTTAATGAAAGCCATGTCAGTCACAGCCTTTTTTGCCGCTCTTCGAATAGGCGAGATAACAATCAGAAACCCTACATGTGTCAGAAACCTCATCCAACTTGACCAGATATCATTCAAGAGGAACCGGCTAGGTCAGGTGGAAGCCATGCAATTATCGATGAAATTCTTTAAACACAGTGACACCTCATGTCCGGTTGTCCTGTCAATATGTCCTGAAAAACCGGTATGTCCTCTGTCCATATTAGCCCTGTACCTTTCACTAAGGGGATACACAAACGGGCCCCTGTTTTGCTGGCCCGACAACTCGCCTGTACGCAGACAATTTTTTGTTAATGCCTTGAATAATGCCCTCGGATTTTGTGGCCTTGATCATAAGGACTACAAAACACATAGCTTCAGGATCGGAGCAGCCTCATGGGCAGCTGAAAAAGGGATGTCAGATTCCAAGATAAAACTATTTGGAAGATGGAAGTCTAGCGCCTTCGTGCGCTATATTCGAACACCAACTCTCGGATCAGCTTAGACACTGGCACACGCTGGATACCCACTATAACGTTACTGTTAGGGCGTATGCAGGGGCTACGCTCATTAGTTCCAATTTAAATAAGATATATAACTAGGTAATGTTAGGACACCGGGATGAACGCTTACGCAGAGGCTAAGCAAAGAATCCGGGCAAATCCTTATAATGTCGTTATTTATATTTATGAAAATAGAATAGTTGGCTTGCTGATTGTGCTGGGGAGTTGCATTGGCATGGGGTGGGGCTGCCCCAGGGCAGATCCAGCATGTTTACAAGCAGTCCTGCTTGTTGCTATGGCGTTTATGCCTCACCTTTGCTGTGAACATTTGTAAGAACTGGGTTTAAATACCAGGTTAGGTTTAACGTTTAACAAACGGCCACAAGAGTGGCCAAAGAGTTCCAACCCTGTCTACTCATCTTCCCTGCTCACAGCAAACACAGCTACGCCCATGCAACTCCCCTTGGCGTTCTAGCCCAAAGTTCGTTATATAATGCATGCGTCAGAGGGCATAAATACACTTACACACACTAACACACTTGCACACACTTTTACACACATTTACACACACTTACACACACACCTACACACACTTACACAAACTTACACTCATTCACACACACCTTTACACACGGTTACACA